TGGATGGATGGATGGATGGATGGATGGATGGATGGGTGGGAGGGATGGATGGATTGGTCGATTGGATGGAAAGGATAGATCAAAATAAATATAAATAATCGATAATCACTATCAATAACACCTTTAATCCTCAACTCCACGTGACCTACATGCCGTCCCACATCTGTAACCACGCCACAAGTGTACAGCCCAACATCTTTAAACCCCACGTGACCAATACTCAGTGACATATCCACTCTTTCGTCCTTGTACTTCTTTTTAACAATCCTTTCCGAGTATCGTGATTTGATGTGATGCCTGGCAGTGTTTGTTACCCTTGTACCAAGGTGGTTCCAGAACAGAGCCGTGTAACGCTGAGGTGTGTGCTTAGCTGAACAAACCAACACAGCAGTGGAACCTTTTGAAACAGTGACCACGTGATGAAGGGGTACCACACGAGGAGGACGAGGGATTGAGAAGTCTAAAAACATAAACATAGAGTGTGTGCAACCATGTGTCTCAAAATCCCTTGAGATATGAATAACAATGAAACAGCCGCCATCTTGGTTGATCTAACAAGAGAAGCTAATGAGGAATGCTTTGTTATCATCAACCAAGATGGCGGCTGTTTCATTGTTATTCATATCTCAAGGGATTTTTGAGTCACATGCACCTGCTATATTGTAGTAAGATCATTCTTAGACTAGAGAATTAAACATACTCAACGTTAAAAGGCGGAAAAGGTACATAACAAATTAAACAGGAATTATGAAATTCATTTGGATGAACAAACGAAGAAAAAGGATTCGATGAGCAAGTGAAATTTCATGCCTCTTTTCCTTGGTCGTAATGTTTTCCCATTTCAGATCACGTGTCATTCTCTTGAAGATTCTTTGTTTGAGTTGTATCCATATTCATGTGTCTTCTCATGTATAACCGTTAAACAAAGAAATAATACTCTAGGAAATTACAGGTTGCTTCGATTGGAAAAACGTTGCGCCACAGACACGGTCTATTTCATTGTTTTCTTTCGTTTTACTTTGCCTATGAGTCACTAATTATACAATTCGGCTCTAATACTAATTTTGGTTTTAATACGAGTATTAAATTGTGGTGTGACTTACAAATAGGAATGACTATGACAAAATGCGTATCTTTGCCCAATCGATTGACCGCGTGACAAGTATAAATACCGCGATGCATCATGGATACTTTCTTGAACACCAAGTCGAGGCTACCACGTGATCTGACTTGTTTGATTGACGGAGGCATGTCTTGTGTGGCGAGTGATGCGGCTCTTTTTATCCAGGTTATTTCAGGTTGTGGGCTACCTGTGGCACGGCATGGTATGACTAGAGGTGTTCCCACGTATGCTTCATATTCATGTTTTCTGGACGTGATGCGAGGAGGGGCTGAATATAAAGAGATTGAGATTGTTTTATCAATTAACCAAACAGACAACCAGTCAGCAAGACAACCGTCCAACCCACCAACCAACCCACCAACCAACCCAACACCCACCAACC